ACTAAGGAGAAACTTCCTGACAGTGAGGACAATTAACCAGTGGAACAACCTGCCTCCAGAAGCTGTGAATGCTCCAACACTGGAAGCTTTTAAGAAGAGACTGGACAGCCATTTGTCTGGAATGGTATACGGTTTCCTGCCTAAGCAGGGGATTGGACTTGATGACCTCCAAGGTCCCTTCCAATTTTTTTTTTTAAGAAGAAGAAGAAGAAGAAGAAGAAGAAGAAGAAGAAGAAGAAGAAGAAGAAGAAGAAGAAGAAGAAGAAGAAGAAGAAGAAGAAGAAGAAGAAGAAGAAGAAGAAGAAGAAGATTATTATTATTATTATTATTATTATTATTATTATTATTATTATTATTATTATTATTATTATTATTATTATATAAACCTTTTTTAATGGCATTTTAACATGGAGGGAGACCTGAGTGCGATACAAGGATATCTGCAAGAGGGACCTAAGGGCCTTGGGAATGGACATTAACAGCTGGGAATCCTTGGCCTCTGATCGTTCAGCCTGGAGGCTAAAGACGCAGCATGGCCTTCTCCAATTCGAAGAGACACTTGTGCGGCAGGCTGAGGCAAAGAGGCAGTCCCGGAACCAGTGAAATCTGGAGGGTGGACAGGGGATAGATTGTACCTGCCCTCAGTGTGGAAGGGACTGCCATTCTCGAATTGGCCTTTTCAGCCACACCAGATGCTGCCTTAGGACCTCTTTTCAGAGCACGATACCATAGTCTCTCGAGACTGAAGGATGCCAATGAATGAAGCTTACGATATTCTCTACTGTTATTAATGGTATTAACACCTTATTAATAGCGCTACAGGAGGCCCGTTTACTGCAATACAGGCACGGAAGAAGAAATCTGCTTCAAAAGCCTTAAACCTAGTTAAGAAAGCCTATGATGGCATAATATTAATAAGGTTTTATTAATAAAGAATAATAACCTTAAAATGCCATTAAAAAGGTTTCTTTCTTTTGATGCCTGCCTATTTTCCAGCCCCCAGAACAGACACGGGAGAAGGAATCCTGCTTCAAAAGCCTTAAAGCGAGTTAAAGAGGCAGAATAATCTTAAAATTCCATTAAAGGGTTTTATTTCCTTTTGTGCCTACTCTTCCTTCTTTGACCGCAGGACTCGGACTCTCACTCAGCCGAAAAAAGTGGCCTCCCTTCCTATATCACTAGCGAGGGAAGACATGTTGGTTTGCTTGGAAAAGAGCTGGGACGGAAAGTTTGCGTGAAAAATAACATCGAGGAGTCTTTCACGAATCGATTGTGATGGTATATTAAGTCTATAAACTCACCTGGAATGGGCAAACTTCTGGGAAAAACTAAAGCTCCAGCGCCTTTGTCCTTTGGAATCTTGAATACTTTGGCGATATTCCTCCCGCTGCCTCCCCCTGCCAGCCCCCTCTGAACTATGAACTGGCCAGGTGAGACTGGCCCTCGGCTTTCTCGGCTGGAGGGTGTGAGGTGATCTTTACACTCTTTTCTTCCCCTCCTCCTGTGGTGTTTAACTGGATGCTAAAACTTCGGCTTCTGCCAAGCTTTTTGTTTGCAATTTATTCCCATATTTAACACTGATATCGATTGCAGCCATACCTTACTTTAGATTTTTCAATCGTTTTTATACAGATTTAAGCTGCCACCTTGATGATGGAACAAACAGAAATTAAGGTTACTTTGATGGGTGCTAACTTTAAAGATAAACCTCACCAAACATAAATTTTTTGTTATGGTTAATATTAAAGTGAGTTATTAGATTTTACCTTTGCTGATAATTTTGAAATTGATGTATTTATTAAAATGTTTTATGTCTACCCATATCACTTATTTCTTGCATCTTCAAGGCACGCTTACAATGTACAATGTCCTGCTCTGTCCCCCCTGGCACCTGCATGGAGACCTCGAAAATAAGCCCAGTGTTACTGGAATTTATATCCAACCTCATGACGGTAAACAACTGATGCTGTCTTTTTTACCTTAAGAGAATTTAGAATAGAATAACAACTTTATTGTCACTTTGAATGTACGCTAATCGGCATACATTAAAATGAAATGTCATTGCATACAGCTTTCAAAGGGTCACCAGCCACTCCCTCTACGAAAAAGGCAGATTCCACAGTTATATCTCAACAACAAAACAGATCGTTACAGCACTGGCAGAGCCAGAAGCAGTGGAGAGCATTGCTGAGAAGATCGGAGTGGAGCATAGGCACCACCCCTGAGAATATCCGGCAGGTAAACTGACAGCAAGGGAAAGCAACAACGGCACAAAAGTCAAAGGAAGGGAAACAAAAGACAGACTACACTTAAGGGACAAAGAGTGCCAAGATGAGAGAGTCAATGCCCAGTGGAGGCAATGCGAGAATCGAGGCATGGAGGCCCTGGTGACATCAGAGACTGAGAAGAGGCGAGGAAAAGCAACGACAGCACAAAAGCCAAAGGAAGGGAATCAAAAGACAGACTACACTTAAGAGAGTTGCCCAGTGGTGGCACTGCCAGAATCGAGGCACGCAGCAGAGCCTTGAAGATATGCAGAGGGTAAGAGGGCAGCAACAAAAAGCAACGGCGGCACCAAAGTCAAGTAAAGGAACAAAAAGATAAGACGGATTATGCTTAAGAGAAGCGGTTCTGGCTTTCCATTCAAAGAACCCCTCAGACGCCTAAAAAGAGGAAACTGATCTCCCGGCCACCCCACTCCTCCCTTCCCTGCCGCAGCCAGATTGCAGCCTCCCAACTGTGACTCCAGGCTCACTCAGTCGTTCCAGGGCACTGCACGATTGGGGTGGGGGGTTAAGGGGGAAGCAAATGCTTCATTGGGTGTGTCAAAGCTCTCTTCTTTCTCAGGGTTCCTTCATAGCAACAGCACGCAGGTCATTCCGTCTGCAGCGACCCAGGGCAGCTCTTTCCTTCATATCCCAGCAATATGCAGGTATAATGTCTTCTGAGCAGGACTCCAGCTGAATACATTTACTCTGCTAATTGTACAAAAAAAACCAAATGACTAAAGCAAAAGTTATTCTCAGCGTACAGCTTACGATGGCTTGAGAGGCCGGTATCTAATTTCAAATATGAGATGTAGTTTATCATTGGCCAGAAAAAAGGGGTAGAGATTAGGAATTTAATGTGTATTATTAAGTAAAAAAGAGACTCAGACAACATGCTGTTTACTAAGCACTTATGATCTGTAAAAATAGAAAATTAATAAAATATTATAAAAATAATAATAAAAAAATCTCCATTTGGCCAATTTATCTTAATTTCCAAAAATGTCTGCCAGTTTTTTTTTCTCAATATATGTTTATCATACAATGTTGAAAGAGAACAGTCTAGCTGCTTCTATGGTGGTGTCGACCACTAGCTCTTTGTGTTATTTTTTTGTGATTTCGTCATCTGTAGTCTAGTTGATTTTTTCACAAAGTGAAAAAACTCTTTAAGGGAGGTGGGCAGTTCCATTTATGGAAACATCCTCATCTCTGCGGAAATGGGGAGTGTTCTGACCCAGGGAGGGTCAGCAGATCAAAGGAACGGGCACTCAGACTGCCTCCAGAGCAAGTCCCCCTGCCACCGTCTCTCCTCTCCTGAAAGGCGCCCAGTGTATTTGTCCGTTTCCCTTGGCACAGGGGTGACCACTGAGGCTTGCTCTTTCCACTGCTCCGTGGCTTTAACCACGCCGGGAGATCCACACAGGTCTTTCATAAACCAGCAGCAACCTTATGCGGAGCCTCCTGCGAGATTCGCACTAGCCTTCCTCCCAGAGATTCCTGCACTTCCCCTTCAGATTATGACCTCCCTCCATGCCTGGAATTGGAAGGTGGTCCTAGCCGGCCTTCCCTTTTCCTTCCCTACATTGATTATTGGGGTCCTTGGATTCGCATCTGGGGCTGTTTCCCTTCCCACCCAGGAGGAACAGTTTTGATGATCCCGTCCAATTTCACACACTCAGGGTCTGCCTGAGCACCGTTGCCCTCGCCCCTCCCTGCCTAGCATCAGCTGAGACAATTCCTCCATTCAGACAATAGGAAGAAGGCAGATTGAACAGAGCCTCTGGGTCAGTCTCCGTTTCTTCCACATAGAAAGGCCACACTCGCCCCCCCAAAGCCAAATTCCCCCTTTCTGCCTGGACAGCTGCGGCCATCACTCCGTTGAGCTCACAGCAGGGCCAGGGCAGCTGAGAATTGGGATGGAAGGGACCACGTACATCCCACAAATCTCCCCAGCCACAATAGACTCTTAGACACGGACTCTGGCCTTACACCTTTATGGGGCAGCTGGAAGGGATATGGGAACAACCCCACAACTCTCATCCTATGGGGTACCCCAGCTGTTATCCCTGGTTGAAGATTGTGAATCCCACTCCTGACACCAATTTCAGTGGAATCAAAAGCAGAACCCTAACCCTAACCCTAGCCTCCAACCCTTAATGATAACCTCTACCCTAACCCTATCCCCTAACCCTAACCCTTAAACCCAATCCAAACTAGCCCTTAACCATAACACTAGCCTTCACCCTGACTCTAACCCTTAAACCTAACCACTTTTCTCAGCGCTTTTGCCAATATCTCAGCACGCTAAATTTGTTTGAAAAAATTTATTGTCACCACATCAATTGTAACTACATTATATGTAATGTTTTCCTGTTAATTAGCAAATTGCAGCTCATAATATTCCTTCTGATTTTTTTTGCCCTTACAAACATTTTCTCACAAAAATATTTATTTTGGAAGGCAGCCAAAAAAGAGTAAGGGCAGGGGTTGGGGTTCAGTCATTCTGCCTCATCCGAGGACCTTCTTTTTCCTCCCGTCAAACAAGAGCCTGGGTGGGGCTGCCAGGTGAGGCCACAAATGGTTCCAAAATTAAAAGCCTCATATATCTATTCTGCCCTCCTCCACTTAAAAGGGTTTTGAATAAGAGAAATAATTTGGACAGCATCTATCCTTTCCCTATACATTCCCAGCACAGCAACCCCACAAGAAGAGCCTCACGTAGGAGGGAGAGAAAGGAGAAGCGGTGGCCCGTCGTGGCCTTGGGCAGCCCGCTGCCTCGAGTCTCCTTAGCTCGCTCATTTCCAGTCTGTTCCTGGTACAAGCACCAAGTTCACACCTGTGTAGCAATGATAAACGTCTCCATTCCTCTCATGCAGTGGGAACAGGGCAGACTGTAGGGTTGAGGGACAGAATTTCTCTGCTCACTGCTCTGTGTCAGCCTTTGTGGTTTCTCCAGAAGACGAGGCCTTGCTGGCAATCAACCTGGGCAGCCCCAGAGGCCGCTGGGGGCTCTCTGGCTGACAACAGCTGCACTTCCACCAGCCGGATTGCCGGGCAAATCGCTCGGCAGCAAAGTAATAAACCAGTGGGTCCAGACAGGCATTGAGGCTGGTCAGTGCCATAGTGATGCGACGAGCCACATAGGTGGTGCGGACGAGGGTGCAGTCGCCCAGGACCCCCACACGGCCCAACGTGTGAACCAGCTGCACGATGTGATACGGTGCAAAGCAGACCAGGAAAACGCCAAGGACCACCAGCACCGTCCGCAGGGCTTTGCGTTTGGCTGCTTGGGAACTTGCCTGCAACCTGGGGGAAGTCAGGAGGCGCCAGGCGATCAGAGGGTAGCAGATGCCGATCAGAAGAAGAGGCAGCAGGAAGCCAACCACGGCAGCAAAGATGCTGACGCCCGAGATGCGCCCCTTCCAGGAACTGGAGGAGAAGTTCTCCAGGCATGCGGTGCGGCCATCGGCAAAGGGGCTGGTCAGGGGCCCACGGAGGGCCAGGAACAGGATGGCCGCAATGAGGATCAGCCACACCCCCAAAGCAGCCCCCAGGCGGTAGCGCAGCTGCCGGAACTGGAGGTGCTTCAGCGGATGGACCACCGCCACATAGCGCTCGAGGCAGATGCAGGCCAGGAAGAGGGAGCTGCCATAGAGGTTGGCAAAGAAGAGGCAGCCGGTGATTTTGCAGAGGGCTTCGCCAAAGGTCCAGTCGTTATGGCGGGCATGGTAAGCGATGCGGATGGGCAAGGTGAGCACAAAGAGCAGGTCGAGGGTGGCCAAGTTCACCAGGAAGACATTGGCCGGGGCAGTGGCCGACTTGGTCCGGAGGAAGTAGCCCAATACAAAGAGATTCCCCCCCAGGCCGAGGAGGAAGACCAAAGTATAAACTACAGGGAAGAGGATGTACTGGAAGTCTGCCCTCTCCGAGGTCCCTCTGCACAATAACCTTCCGTCCAGGCTCACCAAGGTACCGTCGTTGACCTTCTCTTTCTTTTCGTAACTCACATGTAAAAAGGTTTCGCGGACTTCCGTCCTGTTCTTCGTTGCCTACCTTTGATTAGTTCCTCTCTTCGTTGGACCTTGATTTCTCTTTGAAGGACTGTCACTCTTGTTAATTGGTCACCTTGAACCTGCCTCCAGAAGCGGTGAATGCTCCAACACTGGAAGTTTTTAAGAAGAGAACGGACAGCCATTTGTCCGAAATGGTATAGGGTTATCTGCCTGAGCAGGGGGTTGGACCAGATGACCTCCAAGGTCCCTTCCAACTTTATTATTATTATTATTATTATTATTATTATTATTATTATTATTATTATTATTATTATTATTATTATTATTATTATTATTATTATTATTATTATTATTATTATTACATTGTATTTCCTCCAACTTAGGACACTTTCCAAGACTGGGCTCCAGTACCTGCAATGAGGAATTGGTGGCGGCAAAATCTGAGGAGGGGAGAAATGCAGCAACAGCAGCAGCAGCAGCAACAGAGACGCTTCAAGCTAGAGAGCTCCCTGATCCCTGAAGCTGAGTGGCCAGCTGAGAGGAGCAGACCAGACAGATCAGAGCTGAGTCCACCGGAAAGCTGAACGGCAGGCCTCACCAGAGCAGAGACAAGCACTGAAAGACAGAAGAGAGCTGGCAGAGAAAACAACAAGAGGCCGGAGTAGTAAAAAAGGGAAGTGAAGGCAACAATCAAGTTTGGGGTCCCAATAGAAAAGAAAAAAAATAAATAAAAAGGAATTGGAGCTCAAAAACTTTTTAAAAAATAGCGGGAAGAAAAGGATAAATAAAACTAACATAATAGTAAAAAGATTAAGTAAATAACAAGGCAGAAAAACGAGCACAAACAGGCAGAAAAAAGGATAGGGAATAAAATAGGCACAACTACCTAGAACAGAGAAGGAAGAAACAAGGCTAACAGCAAAGCACATCCATCAACCAAAAAGAGGGATTTTCAAACAACAAACTCATGGAACAGGTGACATACTATTGAGGAAAGAGAGTTTATAATCCAATTCTGTCTTTCAATCTCAACTCCAATAATTATCCAAAGGTCCAACATTATCAATCAGCTCCAATTTGTAATCCAAAAGGTCTGTTACGTAAAATTAATAATCCACAAGGCCTCCCCCATAGCGAGTGGCCAAGAGTCAGATTTTTTTTCTGTCTCTAGATAGCTCTTGAAGATTAGGATCTACAATCCTATAGTTCCCCATAAAAAGAAAAGAAAAGGGGAAGTAAAAGTTTATAATCCACTTTTCTCTTTCAGCACCAACTCCAAGCAGAGGCGGTGGTGAGGCCCCTCCTCAAGAAGCCCTCCCTGGACCCGGCTGCTTTGGCCAACTACCGGCCTGTCTCCAACCTTCGCTTTCTTGCGAAGGTTGTTGAGAGTGTGGTGGCACAACAGCTCCCTCAGCACCTGGAAGAAACTATCTAGACTCGCGCCAGTCTGGCTTCCGGCCTGGGCACAGCACGGAAACGGCATTGGTTGCGTTGGTTGATGATCTCTGGAGGGCTCGGGATAGAGGCTGTTCCTCTATCCTGGTCCTGCTAGACCTCTCAGCGGCTTTTGATACCATCGACCATGGTACCTTGTTGCACCGGTTAGGGGGGGTTGGGGTTGGGGGGCACCGTTTTACGGTGGTTCTCCTCCTACCTCTCGGACCGGATGCAATTTGTGTTGGCAGGGGGGCAGAGGTCAACCTCGAGGCGCCTCACTTGTGGGGTACCACAGGGGTCGGTCCTCTCGGCTCTCCTGTTCAACATTTATATGAAGCCACTTGGTGAGATCATCCGTGGTTTCGGGGTGGAGTTTCATCAGTACGCAGATGACACCCAGCTGTACATCTCCACCCCGGACCACCCCAATGATGCCGCGGAAGTGATGTCCCGGTGCCCGGAGGCCGTGCGAGTCTGGATGGGGAGGAACAGGCTTTGTCTCAACCCGTCCAAGACCGAGTGGCTGTGGTTTCCAGCGTCACGTCATAGCCAGTTGGTTCCATCTCTGGCTATCGGGGGCGAGTCATTAGCTCCTGCGGAGAGGGCCCACAACCTGGGCGTCCTCCTGGATGCTCGGCTGTCTTTAGACGATCATGTGACGGCCGTGGCCAGGGGGGCTTTTCATCAGGCTCGCCCGATACGCCAGTTGCGCCCCTTTCTGGATCGGGACGCCCTACGCACGGTCACTCAAGCCCTCGTTGTTTCCCGCCTGGACTATTGCAATGCTCTCTACATGGGGCTCCCCTTGAGGTGCACCTGGAGGCTCCAGCTAGTTCAGAATGCGGCTGCGCGGGGGATTTTGGGGGCCTCTAGATGCTCCCATGTAACACCTCTC